CCCACCGGTGGCAGGGAGAGTGGGGCTCTGGATGCCACTGGAGGGTGGGAGTTCCTAGTGCTTTGTCACTTGATGCTATTTTTGCCTTGACTTCTGTCTGTAAAATCCAGGAAGGTGGGAGGGTGGTATGGACTTGACTGCTTGTCCATAGGAAGTTAGATTTGAGCTAAAAAAGGGGGGGGAGGGGCAGGTCAGATCAAAAGGAATATTTTGCAGATAGTTCTAGATGGGGCTAAATATGTCAGTAAACCCAGGTCAAAGTCTGATTTCTGCCCTGCTCCTGGCTTCCTCTCCCTTTGTTTCTGCCCTCTCCTCTTCCTCTTTAAGGGATACTTTGTGGGCAGGGGGTGAACCCCAGTTGGCTGAGTGCTTTCAAAGCATGCTTGAGCTCCTGGGTTTGGTCCTCAGACATATAAACCTGTAATCTCAGGATTAGAAATTCAGGATTATGTTTGGCTATTTGGAAAGTTCAAGACGAGCCTGGGTTAGAGATCATGTTGTTAACCAATAACAACAAAAGTCCCCAAAGCTACTTGGTCACATTCCTCTCCATTCTGTGGCAGTGTCTTTCAGGTACACTGACTGGACATTTCAGACATCTCTCAGATGAAGTGGGTTTGTCTAGAAGCTCTTGAGAATTTTTCTGGTTATGTTAAGGATATAAACATTCTTTTTAAGTTGGGACCATGGTGGAGGAGCAAAGGACACGAACATGTATAAATTCTAGAAACTTGTATCTTAGAAGTGTTGGAGGTGCCCAGCTCCTCTGTGGTCTTTAAGAGAAAGGCAGTATGAAGGGGTCGGTGGGGACAAGTTTGGGGTGGTGTGAGTTGACGAGGTGGAGCTGAAATTGCCCAGTAATAGTGACTTAATGCCTGTCTGGAGCAACTCACCTGTTTGTCAACAACTCAGACACATTCAAACTCTTTAAAAAATGATTTATTTTTACTGCATGCTTGTCTGTGTGAGGGTGTCAGATCCCCTGGAATTAGAGTTACAGTCAGTTGCGAGCTGCCATGTGGATGCTGGGAATTGAGCCTGGGTCCTCTGGAAGAGCAGCCAGTGCTGTTAATCTCTGAGCCATCTCCCCACCTCCCCCCATCCCCACCCCACACATTCAAACTCTTATTGAGAAGAAGCCTGGAGGGGGCACAGAACAGAGGTGGTGCTGGCTGCACCCCGGCTCTCTCCCATGTAAGCTGCTAGAACTAAATGTGGAACTAACTTTTCTTGCTGGACCACTCCCTTCACTCTGTTACTGTCCCTTATTAAACTTCTATGTGTTCTTACTGGGGGAGTAGGCTCTGTTGGGCATGGTGTGATTGGGGTTTGCTAAGCCGTAGACCCACCCCTCCCATTAGGTTTAGACCCATATTCTATGCTTACGATGGGCTTTTGCAACTACCAGCTTTCCATTCTGTATCCAGCTCCCTTAAGCAACCACCCTCTCCTTGATTCTTGCCTTCACATGGTGAGTTGTTTATTAACAGCACCAAGGCTGAGGAAAGTTCTGCCTGAAGCTGAAAAAGACTATTCCCAGGGAATGCAGCTGTGGATAGTGACCTTAAGTTTACTGTGCAATTGTTTAAGGCAAGATGTTAACCTGGAACTTCATAATAAAGTAATTATAAATTCTATTCCCTCTTCACCTGATGTGTCATCAGTGTTACCGAATGTAACTCTACAGGCTTTCAGAATGACCCTGCACGTAGACGTAGTATCCTCGTTTTCATGGATGCAGAATTAGAGCTCCTACAAGGTCGTGTGACTCACATAAAGTGAAGTAGCTGGTTGAGAGTAGACAACCAGCTGTAGTCAGTCTGGCTACAAAGTCATCACTCTGCCATGTTGCCTACTCATTATCCAACCCTGGCTGAGCTTTAAAAAGTGCTGCTAGTTTTTGAGAATGAGCAGAAAAGGTGTTGGGACAAGATGTGTCTGAATACACACTTGGGTTACACTGTAGATAGCCCTTCTGAAAATCAGGTCTTCAGGATGATGGAGTCACGACTGCTCTGCTTGTCTTTCTGTTGCTTCTAGGATAATTACAGGTTTTTCTTTAACATATTTGATCATACTGAAAATAAGGGTAGTTGATTTTTCTTGTTAAAGAAAAGAACATGCTTACTGTAAGAACTGCTGATGCATAAAAAAATGGCCAAGATGTCCCAAAGCACCAGAAGCTGTCTGAGAAGGTCCAGCCCTGTGCTTCAGTTCACTGGGTACAGGACCTTAGTCTAATCACTTATGCTCTTGTTTCTGGGCTGTGAAGTTGGAAACATTTCCCAGCAGTGAAGCTCACAGCACAGTGGCTCTCTCCAGCGTTTCCCAGAGTGCTTTTTAATTAGTTTCCTTCGGACACCCTCCCTGAGAGAAAGGTTAAAAAGCAATACCTTATTTGCGCTGGTGAGACTCTGAAACTGACTTGCCTTGGGCCGGCCTGACCCAGTGGAGGGATTTCCTCAACCCATCACTCCTGCTTTTCATGCCAAAACCAGGGCTGCCTCAAGGAGGGCATTGGTAGAGGAGGGAAGGATGGAACATCCTTGCTCACCACTCACCATGCTTTCCTTTCTTTCTTTCTTTTTTCTTTCTTTCTTTCTTTCTTTCTTTCTTTCTTTCTTTCTTTCTTTCTTTCTTTCTTTTCTCTCTCTCTGTCTCCCTCCCTCTCTCTCTCTCTCTCTCTCTTTCTTTCTTTCTTTCTTTCTTTCTTTCTTTCGAGACAGGGTCTCTCGTGTAGCCCAGCTGCCCCCTGACTCACTGTATGAACTCCTGATCCTCCTGACTCCGCCTCCTGAGTGCTGGCATCACAGTGACACATGGACACATCTGGGTTTACATGCCTAGGACTGAACTCAGGGTTTGTGTTGTGTGTGACAGGTAAGTACTCTATAAACGGCGCCACATCTCCAGCCACTACTTCCCACACACCTTCTGATGCAAGGAATCCAGTCTATCAGCTTGGTTTTTGCAGTCCTGTTTGAAGTTGCTGAGACAGTGGTTGAAGTGGTGTCCTTCAAATCACAGACCTGAATCCATGACCTGGATGTGGCATTGCTTCCTTGAACGAGGCTGCAAGCATGATGGATAGCAGAAATTATTATTGGCTCAACTGCCCAGTCTTGACAGGGACCCTTTGTGTTTGAGATGCAAACCTGACATCCACAGAGGGCATCAAAATCGGATGTTGTTTTCTCCCTGCAATTCATGTGTTGGGCTTTTTGGTAGAAGTGCTGCCAAGTTGTCCCTGGTACATGTCCTTGTTAGAGCTGGTCTGTAACTGACACATTGCAGTGTGTGTAGTTAGACTTTGGAGATGGCCTCTGACACAGCAGGCCCTACCATCTCTTTCTCTTGCTTCCAACAAATCTGCCACAGCCTGACTCATCTTTGCTTACTTCTAGAGGTACGGCGGCTCCTGGCCAGACTGAGTGTGCCTTTGGAGACACAGTCTTAGATAAGAAGTTGCCATGTTGGTGTTTGTTATTCTTGTGAGCTGACTGTTCTGTCCCTCTGGCTCCATTAAAGCCCTCCAATAATTAGTTAAGTGTTTGTGAGAATGTCACAGGGTTGTGTAGGGAAGGCTTCATAAAAGGGAGGAAAGCACGGGATTTTGAGACAGCAAAATTGGTTTCCTGTCTATACTAGAGTTTTCATAGACTAGGGAGAATTGTTATTAGGGTTTTTCTTTTCTTTTTAGCTTTATGTGTTTTTCAGCTATAAAAGTATTTTTGTTGTTATTATTATTGTTTTTGTTTTGTTTTGTTTTTGCCTCCCCGCCTCTGGGGACAGTGTTTAGAAGTATCCAGTATAGATGGGCATTTCTGTCCTTCCCGGTCCTACAGCCCTTCAGTTCCAAATAAACACACAGAGGCTTATATTAATCATAAACTATTTGGCCTATGGCTCAGACTTCTTATTGGCTAGCTCTCTCAATTATTAACCCGTTTCTATTAATCTACATATCTCCACATGGTCTTGGCTTACCAGTGATGTCTGAGTCTATTGCTTCCTTGGCAGCTACATGTGGACTCACTCCCTGAGTTCCTCTTCCCAGAATTCTCCTAGACTGGTAGCCTCACATGCCTGGCGATATTCTGCCTGTCTGTTGGTTGAAACAGCTTTATTCATCAACCAATAAGAGACACATATATTCACAACATATATAAGGACATCCCCCCATCAATCCAGAGTGGTCTAGGGTTTAATATGCCATCATAGCCTTTTCTACCCAAAACCCCTGGCAAGAGAATTGCTTACCTTTATACCAATGAGACTGAAAAAACATTCAGTGTGTGCTCAGATGGACAGGGCCTGTGGTGATTCCATGTGTGCTAAGTGTGTCAGCAGTGGATCAGGCTTGCTTTCCTTATGGTGAGGTTGTGGTGAAGGCACAAGCACAGAGTCAGGAAGCGAAATAAACACGAGAGACTTTTAAACAATGCAAAGGGAAATGTCACAGTCCTAGAATCCCAGCCACTCAGGAGACTGATGCAGAGGATGGAAAGTTCAAGACCTACCGAGGTTACAGAATCAGTTCCAGGCCAGCCTGGGTAACTTAGCAAGACCCTGTTCCAAAATAACAACTAAGTAGCTGGAGATATAGCCCAGTGGTAGAGTGCTTTCCATCCCAGGTACAATCCCTGCACCACAGAAATAAATAAAGTAAAAGTGAAAAAAAGCAATGCTTACTTCAATGTCAAGTTACAAACTTACACCTAGACAATTTACTTCAAAGACACTTCATAGACTGACCTGATCCAGTTTTGGTCCCACGAGTGCTGGCATTTGTCTCAGGATGTGGCCACTGTTCCTCCTCTACCTAAATGTCCTCCCTCACACAGCTGTTTATCCTAAGTGTATATTTGGTAGGGAGTTAAGTAGATTTGTTATTGGTGCTTGCAGCAATAGCTGCTTTATGGGGAAATCAAGACCACGTTTAGTGAAGGGTTAAATTCAGGTTGATGTAACCTTTCTTTCTCTGTGTTTTGTCTGAGCAGGAATCCTTGGTTATCTCCTTTGCCCTTTTCTTGCTGGATGGAACAGAAAGATAATCAGGGTGCATGTGAACACCAGAATTTCGCAGACAGAGATATGGGTTCTGACTTTGAGAACTCTGAGGACAGAGAAGGGGACCCAGAAGAAAGAGGAATGGGCTCCAATCCACAGGACATGGAAGAGAGGGGCCACCTGGAGCAGGAGATGGACCCCAACCCACAGGATGACGATCTAAGAGGAGACTCACAAGAGAGGGAAATAGGTGAGAAGACAGGAGTATCCATGAAAGTTACTGCATCCACATTTACATTTAGTTCCTATGGCATACAACCAGGACCGGCATCTTGGGTGTCTAGGGGGAGGGCTCTCTAGAGACCACTGAGCAGGATTCTCAACTGACTTGGCTCTCCTACTGTTGGTCCTGTAAGCATCTTTTTCTTTAATACCATCCACCACTGAGGCCATGCTGGTAAGTATGAGTAAAGGGTCACTCATGGGCACTGCCCTTTGCCATGGATGACTGCTGAACACCACCACAGTGGAATCACAGGCAATACTGGGGCCTCGCTGACAGATGATGGGAGAATGACATTACATGTTGGATTTAAGGAGTGACTAGGAGCCTGGCTCAGTGGTTAAGAGCACCGAGTTTGGTTCTAGCACCCATATTAATCGGCTCACAACTACCTGGAATACTTCCAGGGGATCAGTGTCCTCTTCTGGTCTCTGCAGGCTCCTGCACGGATGTGGCACACACTCACTCACATAATAGATGAATAAATATATTTTTTTAAAAAATTCAAAAGTGACAGCACAGTGCTGGGCAAAGTATATTGATATTTCTAGTTAAGTCATCATTTCCCTCTCTAGATAAGCAAATTCCGTGGGTAAGTGACCCACCTGTGGTCATGAGGCTGGTTACCCAAGTGCCTGAGTTCCTGACCTGAAAGCAAATCTTGGGTCTCTAGCCACTTCCTTGTTTCTGTCCTTGGACACTGGTTGCTTTGTCCTGTTCAGGGTACACAGCAGGGACTGCAACAGCTGAAACACTCTATGGCCAGGACTGTGGTTACATTCCTTTCCCTATGACAAAGTCCCAGACGCCCCCACTGCCCTCCCCCACAGCGCATGAACACATGTGACCTTCACTTTCCAGAAACTTCCTTGAGCGCTCTTTGCTTGAGGGGGAAACAGCCAGAGACGGACAGGTACATATTCTCTACCAGTTTGTAACTTGGTCTTACTGGTTCTGGGCTGTCTGTCATCCCTTACCCATCTTCCCGCGCTGAGTTCAGTTTGCTCATAGGTGTGACCAGCCTGCTGCTGAGGACAGCTGTAAATGCTACTCAACACAAAATTGTAAATATAATTCAAACTCCAGGTGTGTGTGTGTGTGTGTGTGTGTGTGTGTGTGCATGCATCTGTGGGTTGTTACATGTGTCAGCCAGAGGTCAACCTCAGGCATTGTTCCTTAGGAGCCATCTAACTTGAATTTTGAGATGGGGGTCTGTTTGGCCTAGAGCTCACCAAGATAGGTTAGGCTAGCTGACCAGTAAGTCCCAGGGAGATCTGCCCGTCTCTGCTTTCCCACTAGAGTTGCAAGCACCATGAATCCCACTTGGCTTTTGGGGGCAGGTTATCAAAATCAGGTCCTCATGCTTGCATGGCTGTTTAGAAATAAATTGTATTTCCTGAGTTTTTCCCCCCTTAAGACTTGACAGTTTGCTTCTTGAGCACAGACTTTTGTAGACTGTAACACAGTGTTGCAATGTAAAAGGCTGGATGCACTCGCTGTCAAGCTGTTGCAGATTGGCCCAATGGTTTTGTTTTTGTTTTAAAATCAGTTCTGGACCTGATGCCTCCAAGTGGTCTCTTTTACTTTTCACGATTAGCCTGATTTGTGTTTTGAGGCTCTAGAGTTACAGAGCAAATACATTGGTTGAGCAAATACAGTTTTTCCTTTCTTTTCTGGAGACAGAACTCTGTCTCCTGAGTCCCTGTCTGGTACAAAACTGGCCATCTGCAGATTTCCAGTGGTTCAGCTAAGAGCCTGGGTATATAGTACATGGGGCCTGCCAAAAGCATGGTTGGCAGTGGGGCAGAGTGCATTGTCCTATAGGTCCTACTCGGAGGAAACCGGTGGGAAGAGGCTGGAGCTGGGGAAGGGGGTGGATTGTGGGAGTACCCGGGAGAGGCATTATTCCTTTGGCTCACAATCTTTGAAGGGCAGTTCTCCTAGAATACCTTTGTAAGCCAGGTCTAGTTGACTCCCATTGCCAACTTGTCTGTTGCAGAAGGGCTGCTGAGTGAGGAAGAAGGGACTGTCCTCCCCGAGGAAGAGGACGACCAGCCTGGTGTGGCTGACATGGCACTGTTCCCAGGCCTGTCAGAATCTGACAGTATATCCCGGAGTCCCCGGGGAGAGGAGGAGGAGGAGGAAGAGGAGGAAAGCGCTGGGGAGAACCGGCTGATGGAGGAGGAAGAGCAGGTGCCTCCCCCGGTGCTTCCCTGGAGGCGTCACCTCTCACTGGGGGGTCCACACCGAGGTGACAAACCTGCCCATCGCCGCTTCCACCGGTTGCATCACCCCATGGCCATGGACCTCGGGGAACTCGACAGCCTCATGGTCAGCATCATGGACGCGCCCACCATCTGCCCGGACTGCGGGGAGAGCTTCAGCCCGGGGGCTGCCTTCCTGCAGCACCAGCGCATCCACCGCCTGGCTGAGGCCGCTGCTGTGGCCAGCCTGGAGCCCTTCGGCTTGGCGGCCGAGTGCGGTGGGGTGGTGGGGATGATGGGCATGGGCGTGGCCGGCGGCTTCGGGGCGGGGCCCGCGCTGGCCCGGCCCCCTCGCGAGAAACCCTTCCGCTGCGGCGAATGCGGCAAAGGCTTCAGCCGCAACACCTACCTGACCAACCACCTGCGGCTGCACACGGGCGAGCGGCCCAACCTGTGTGCGGACTGCGGCAAGAGCTTCAGCTGGCGCGCCGACCTGCTCAAGCACCGGCGCTTGCACACGGGCGAGAAGCCCTACCCGTGCCCGGAGTGCGGCGAGGCCTTCAGCCTCAGCTCGCACTTGCTCAGCCACCGGCGCGCGCACGCGGCGGCCAGCGGGGCGGGCTCGGCGGCGCTGCGGCCCTTCGCGTGCGGGGAGTGCGGCAAGGGGTTCGTGCGCCGCTCGCACCTGGCCAACCACCAGCGCATCCACACGGGCGAGAAGCCGCATGGCTGCGGCGAGTGCGGCAAGCGCTTCAGCTGGCGCTCGGACCTGGTGAAGCACCAGCGCGTGCACACGGGCGAGAAGCCTTACATGTGCTCCGAGTGCGGCGAGACCTTCAGCGTGAGCTCGCACCTCTTCACGCACAAGCGCACGCACTCGGGCGAGCGGCCCTACGTGTGCCGCGAGTGCGGCAAGGGCTTCGGCCGCAACTCGCACCTCGTCAACCACCTGCGCGTGCACACGGGCGAGAAGCCCTTCCGCTGCGGCCAGTGCGAGAAGCGCTTCAGCGACTTCTCCACGCTCACGCAGCACCAGCGCACGCACACCGGCGAGAAGCCCTACACGTGCATCGAGTGCGGCAAGAGTTTCATCCAGAGCTCCCATCTCATCCGCCACCGCCGCATCCACACCGGCAACAAGCCTCACAAGTGCGCCGGCTGCGGCAAGGGCTTCCGCTACAAGACGCACCTGGCGCAGCACCAAAAATTGCACCTGTGCTAGGGCGGGGCCCGAACGAGGCATCGCTGGGAGCAGACGGCTTGGTTACTGATCCTGTAGATGTGGGGGAAGGGGCGGGAGGGATGGCCTGACAGTGTCCGGGGGGAGCTTTTTAATGCTGGGGGCTCCCCCAAAGGGACGGTTAATAAGAGTTGTTATTTCGAGGTGCCTACCTCCTCCATGGAAGTAACTCTTGGGAGATGTGCTTGAGTTGATGACTTGCTTAAATACACACTGTAAGGGATGACGAGTTTGGGTGAACAGACGCTTGGAGGACCCCCGCCCCCGAGGAAGAGGATTTGGGACTGGGTAGAGAGGGTTGGCTGCCGTGCTTTTGGGAACCCTCCCGGTTATGGGGGGTACAATAAAACGCGGGTAGGAACAAGTCTGTGACACCTCTCATACTAGCTTTAGTCAGACCCTTCTCATTCCTATAGAAAAGGGTGTTTGGCTCGTGAGCCACAGTTAGCTGCTATTTTGAGACATCCAGGGGAAATTGAGCAGAAATCCCGCACAGTTACTTCAAGGGGCGACCTCACGTTCAGAAAATACCACTAACAACTGGCTCCCAGATTTCTTAGGAAATTCTGCACTTGTTTCTTCATGTTGGGTCAGCGTTGCCTACGTGGGTGGGTGACCCTGACCCCTGTGTAAGTCGGGAGCTGCCTGGTCTTAGTCCGGCTTGGTACGTTGTGTTTCAGGAGAACTGAAGACCGTCAACAGAAACGTGTCCCAAAAGTCAGCCAGCTCAGCTTTGCTGGCTTCGTGTGGAAAATGCAAGAAAGCTGAGTTCACAGGAGGGGATGCCTTCATTTGCATGTGTGTGCACTGACCCCATGAACCCCAAGGTCGCACAAATTAATGAGGGCTCTAATCCAGACAGGGGTTTCTCCTACTGCCCCCACATATGAGAGGCTCAGATTTACACACAGAGGGTGCAGTCAGGGAGAAGTGGGAATGCAAAATCGCCAAATAGCACAAACAATGAATGTTTTCTAGTTACACAGATGCCAAAATAGCACTTTTGTATTTACAAAGTGTTTTATGCTTTCTAATGATTGCTAGTGTTTCTCACATGCTCCCGAGGTAAATCAGTATTGCAAGCTATGTCTTGTGTGACAAGCCTCTTGAAGGAAGGCTAAGGACCGTGGATGGTAGAGCCTGACCTTTCCTGTTCTCCAGCTTGGTTGCTAGGATGAGTTACGTTTTCATTTATACAATACAATAAGAACACTGAGCATTCTTGTGCTTGATGGAAGACATAAAGCCTAGAAGGACCAAAGATGTCCTTATTGACAAAGCTGGCCTTTGTCACCTGATTCTAGTGTCCTCACTATGTTCTATTTCTGGTAGGGGGCTGTAGTCAAATGACTTGTATAGATTTTGGTTATACTGCAAACCCCTCCCCTAGATTAGCCTGTAGAGGTTAGCGTTGTGGCAGGCAGTGGTTTTCCTCACTGGAGCTTGTTACCCTAGACTGTTCATGGAAGTCTCAAACTGTTGGACACAGTTGAAGGGGGAAAACCTGTACAATTGTTTTTACGGTTTTCGTGAAGTTTCTGTGGATGTTAGTGATTTATACTTGATCATTTGTATTTTAGTAATGATCCTTGGGGACTATAGGAAAGCTCTTTTTTGTCATTCTAAGAATACTTAAAAATCTGAAGAACCCCCTGGGTTTGTGTGTGTATTGCCTGCTGATCTTGTCCACTAAATCTGTTTATTGTTCACAGATGGAAACACTCTGTTTTGTAAAACTGATTCTCTTCCAGTTTTCTTTTATTGAAGAGTTACATGTGCAAAGTCTATGCCCATTATTTATTCTGACTCTTGAAGTCTGAATGCCACTTTTTATGAGATCTACTTAAAACAATACAGCCAATTTGTAAGTAATCTTTAGTTCTTTTCTTTTTCCTCTTTTGAGACAGGGTCTCTCTACATAGCCCTGACTTTCCTGGAACTTACTGTGTAGACCAGACTAGTTGTGGATTCACAGATTCACCTGCCCCTGCTCCCCAAGTGCTGGATTACAGACAGGTGCCACTATGACCTGTTTATTATCGTTATTTTTTAAATACACATCTACCTCTTCTGGCTGTTTTAAGTTCTCTCAAGTGTGTGCCAGTGAAATCTCATCCCACTTTTGATTCTTCATGTATATTAGGGGCTTCGTTTTCTGTTTTGCCTTTTGTCATTAACATTGCACACAGGATAGCCATTATCAAATGTGATACATATCAGCAGCTGTAGTGAGCGGGCTCATGGGGAGTGGACAGGCAAGCCGGTGTGGAGTAATGGCAGTAGACCTTTGGACTTCTGTTCTATTGCCACAGGTCAGAGAATCAGCTACTGTGTTAGTACCTTCACCCAGCAAACTACTCGGCAGGAGAAGCTGTTTGGCCAGCTCTAGTGGCGTATATGAAATGTGATTCTGTGTCTCTCACGTCTTCAGGGAACATGCCTGCCCGAATTAAGTGAGAGTCTGCACACCCAGGTGGTTATTTCTTGTCTTCCGTCTTAGAATGATAGCGTTTCTTCAGGATACCCTAGTGACTGTGACTCATGCTTGAGATGTTAAAAGATCCCTCTCCAACTCATTACTGATGTTGGAGGCCTTTGTATTATTTATTTCCTGGAGCGTTCAGTCAAAAGCAGGCTTCATTTGCTGTCCTTTACTGAGGGCATAAATGACTTAGTTCTGAGGTGGAGTAATATGAGCAGTTAGCCCTTGGAGCCACGTGGTCTCTTTACAGCCCAGAGGCTGTGTATATGTGACAAGTGAAACTTAAAAAAAAAAAAAAAAGTGTTCATAGACAATCTGAACTGTGTTTCTGAAGTTTGTGCACACTTTTATTGTAGTGCTATTTTTATCTGTTTGTTAAAGTAGTAAGTAATTTAATGAGTGTGCTTGTGGATGTGGGAATTGCCTTCTTTACAGGTTGTTTTATTTAATGATGGTTCCTTGGATGGCATCTTGGTGTTCAGCAATGAATATGGGATATTTGTCATTAAATTCCTATCAGTCTTTTATCATTCTTCTTTATTATGTGTCTCACACATGACTCTTTGTAAATTAAATTTTATTGGGATGCAGTTACACCCACACAGCCAAACTTACAAACTGTCTATGTAGACTTTCCCGAAAATCTGAGTAATTGTGACAGAAGCCACATGTGCTACAACTCTAAAATATTTACTATCATATCTTTAAGAACACGATCTAGTGGGGTGTATGGGCAGGGACAAGAGGCTGCTCCAGAGTGAGTACTAGTATGAGGTCAGCCCGACCTGTGTAGTATGACACTGGTTCAGAATTGTTTTCTTTTAATATGTGCACACACACACACACACACACACACACACACACACACACACACACACACGCAAACATCCTGGTTTGCTTTCTATGGCTGTGAGAAAACACCATGACTAGAAACAACTTGGGGAGGAAAGGCTTTACCTGACTCCTTGCAATCACAGTCCGTCATGAAAGGAGGCCAGGGCAGGAGCCTACAGGTGGGAACTGAAGCAGAGACCGTGGAGGAACACTGCTTACTGGCTGGCTCTGCGTGTCCTGAATTGCTTTATAACTCAGGACCACCTGCCCTAAGGGTGGCACCAAGCACAGTGGGTTGTTCCCTCTCCCCGTCAATCATCAAGAAAACGCCTCATGGACTTGCCCACTGGCCAATCTTGTGGAGGCATTTTTCTCAGTCAAGGTTCCATCTATGGTGATATATTGTTGATGATTTATTAAAGCTTGATTGAGGATTCAGAAAGCAAAGTCAGCCAGAGGCCATAGAAGCCCTGTGCACACCTTTAATTCCAGCAGCCAGAAGCTAGGAGGTGGTAGTACATACCTTTAATCATAGAACTCAGGATTATGAGGTAGACGGATCTCTCTGAGTCCAAGGCCACCCAGATCTACACAAGAGTGAATCAGTCTAAAAGAGAGTTATAGCTCACACCTTTAATCCCAACATTAGGGAAGTATATAAGACAGAAGCAAGGTCTCTGAGAGGCATTCGTTCTGCAACCACACTGAGGAGAGGCAGCAGTTTGAGACTTGGTGAAGAGCCCGTGAAGACAGGATCAGCCCATTCAGCCTGAGGTAGCGGTAAGAAGCTAATGGCCAGCTGCTTTGCTTTCCTGATATTCAGCTTGAAGCTTGAACCCCAATATCAGTCTCTGGGTCATTTATTTATTCGTGTTACATTGGTCTTTCCAGATGACTCTTAATCTTGTGCCAAATTGAAACAACCTAACCAGCACAATTGACCCCTTATTCTTGACACAAATACACCACTATTAAATCAACATTGTCCCTCTTGTAGGTCACCGAGATCTTGTTAACATCATAATATAAAACAGTATAACTTTAAAAGTTCCACCATCTTTAAAATATTCAAATACTTTGAAATCTCCAAGTCTTTAAAATATCCAAAGCCTCTCAACTGTGGGTTCCTGTAAAATAAAATAAAAAAGGTACATTTGCTTTCTTATTCCAAAGGGAAGAATCAGGACACAGTTTGAGTTAGATCAAGGTAAACCCAAAACCTGCCACTATAAATGGATGTCTGGAACTCATTATCTTGTGGTCTCCTAAGGATTTGGGCTTATGCACATGCAAGATTGCTGAAGTTGCTGAGTCCCTCACTAGAACATTGGGTAGATCTCAGATCACCCTGGGACTGGTTAACGACTGAAGTTGAAATAGTCTGTACTCTCTTAGCAGTAATTCAGTCCAGCACAGTGAAGCTATCGTGCCTTTGGAGGAATGGACATGTTTTCATGTTCACCACTGTTCTCCATTCCCAGAGAACTGTCTTCACTCTTATCAAGGTTGGCTTGGTGGCTTGATGGAAGGTTTAAATAAATTAGTTATTGAGAAGGGAAAAGAGGATAATATGTGTTCCTGAATCTCATGACAAAATTTCTTTTGCCTTGGCTCTCAGCAAATTTGAATGATTACTGATAATACCCAAGGGACCTAACCAGCTAGATTGAACTTTTGCTGAAATGTCTTAGCTCAGTGGTTCTCAATCTGTTATGATTCCTAACAGTAGCAAAATTACAGTTATGAAGTAGCAATAAAAATAATTTTCTGTTTGGGGGCCACCACAACATGAGGAACTGTATGTATTAAAGGGCTGCAGCATTAGGAAGGCTGAGAACCACTGCTTTAGCTAGTCTGGGCCTACCCACAAGAAAACACTGACTCAGCAACTACTAGGGAAGAGAGCTTCAAGGCAGAAATAGAATTGTGAGAATTTATCACCTTATCTTTTAACATTCACAGTGACCTCCTTGTTTAGATGACCCAGAGTCCTTTCCCTACTCAACAGGGCCGTGGGAAGGAAGACAAAGAGGAGGCCAAGACAGCCATGTTTCTCACCAAGGCTGACGTGGCTTGAAGCACTAACTAGGGCAGCTACTGGTCCTACAAGCATCTGAGGAAAATGAAGTAAAACCCAGAGCTTTAGCATGGGTGCGCCTAGTAAAGAAAGACCTTGTACTTCTGATCCGTCTGGCCTCTAGCTCGCAAGTGCTGGGATCACAGCTGTATACTATCACATCAGGTTTTATGAACCCAGGGTTTCATTTGGCTAAACAAGCACTGTACCAACTGAACTACATCCCTAACCCACAGCAGGACCAGTGAGGTAGGGTGGCTTAAAAGTGTGATCCCATCACTCAGGAGACTGGTCCTGGAGGATCATGAATTTGGGGCCAGCCTCAATAAGAGTTTGAAGACTGCAAAACCAACAAAACCAGGAAATTGGTTTGTTGTTTTCTGTGTTCAGTTTGGAGCTGCCCCGTGTTGATGGGGGCAGTCTCTGCATGGTCCAGAGTTTTGTCTGCACACCTTGGAATTCTCAAGCTTGATGAACTGAGGCTAGACATACTTAGACTAAAATTGCAGAGTTTTTTTGTGACCTCATTATCTAAATCTACTTATCAGTTAATTGGGGTGAGCGGAGTAGACTTTTGCCATCGAGTAGCAGGTGTCTTGAGCAAGATTCTGGCCTTTCTAACCAGACACCATCACCATTGGCTTTCCCCTCTGTCACAGTGACTGTCAAGGGGCTTCGATCCCACCCGGGAAACACCAGCGCTCATGACCTGCTGACCTGGGCAGTCAGTGCCGCCACTCAGGAGGCAGCAAGTCGGATGACGGGCTGGCTTTCTTGAGCGCTGTCTTGCCTCAGGCCCTTCGTAGTCCTTGGAGAGGGGTGGAGAAGTGGGAAACTGTGTTCTCACATCACTTGGCTTTCACACAACACACCACCCTACAGATTCAGGACTCCACAGAAAACCGAGCTGCATCATTTTGGAGGAGGCAGAACATGTAAACTATCTTTCAGTCACCCAGTGCCTTCGAGTCCTCCAGGAAGCAAGGCCTCACCCACTCTCTTCTTCATGGAGGGCTGGCAAAGTCAGCAGCCTAGGTGGGGTCGGAGTCTACTGTGGAACGTCACACTAGACAGCCTCTGAGGCATTTCCCAATGCCCTGTTCATCCTGTCCCTTAGTTACTTCCCTCCAACCTTATTCTGGGGGTAGACTTGAGAAATAGCTGAGTATGGGTTGTCAGTGCAGGACTCCTGTGGTGCCTGCCCAGAGAATCTTCAGACCAGGAAGTTGACAGACAAGTTAATGAGTAACCACACTGTCCTGTGACAGGTGCCTGGCAGAGGGAAGCTTCAGCCCTACTTGGAACCCGAAGACTCCCTGGGGGAAAGGGAGCTCAAAGCAGAGGAGAGATGACACAGGAAGGGTAGATAGAGAAATGGGATGTATTCAGCTGCAGCAGCCCTGGGGGGGGTGATATGGTGTGTCTGGAGTATGTCCCAATGTTGGTAAAAGGCAGATGCTGTAAAGTAATATCCCAACCCAGCTTTTGGCTGCATTCCATCCTCCAAACGTGTGTTCCTAGTCCTGTGTTCATTGGTCTATAATCTCCCCCTTCTACCTGCAGCCATGCCAGCCTTTTGTTTAGCAAATGAGTAGAGAAATTGGGGTTCAGTCCAACTCTGTTGCTGATGGCTTGGTGTCTTAGTTAGGGTTTTTTATCCTGGCTGGTCCTGCTACCCTTCTCAGACCCAAAGAATCACACAGATGCTATATTAATTACAAAATTGTTGGCTGGTGACTAGGGATTCTATTGGCTAGCTCTGTCTTAATTATTAACGCATAACTACTGATCTATGTATCTCCACGTGGTTTTGGCTTACCGGAGAATGCTGAACCTACAACTCCTTTGCCTGCTGTGTCGAGACTGTTCTGGTGGGCTCTCTTGCCTACCTTTCCCAGACTTCTCCTCTCCTAGTCCTGCCTATCTTGCTGCCTCATTGTCCATTGGCCCAACAGTGTTTTATTCATCAACCAATAGGAGAAACATATACAGAAGAACATCCCCCATCAGGGTTTTATTGTTCTGAAGAGACACCATGACCACAGTAACTCTTATAAAGGAAACCATTTAATTAGGTTGGCTTACAGTTCAGAGGTTTAGTTCATATGGCCATGGCGGGAAGCGGGGTAGTATGTGGTCAGACATGGTGCTGGAGAGGTAGCTAAGAGTTCTAAGTCTGGATCAGCAGGCAGCAAGAAGAAAGAGATGCTCAGCCTTCCTTGAGCATGCGAAACCTCAAAGCCCATTCCCAATGACACACTTCCTCCAACAAGTCCACACCTCCTAATAGTACCCCCCATGAGTTTATGGGGGGCATTTTTGTTCTAACCACTACAGCCAAGTTCCTTCACCTCAAAAGCCTCAGTGTCCTCATTGATAAATAGGGAATTGAAAGATCCCATTGTGTCAGTCTGGAAAGAAAGATGATCACAGTCAACATTGGTGGCACATTTTGGCCACTAAATGTAAAGTTAAGTCTGGGGCCCCATATAGACTTTTAAGACAAGCACAGTGCCCTGCACACCGATCCTGTGGGTCAGAGCCCTAGTGGTTATTCTAATAATTCCACAATGACTTCCAGACACCAGCGAGTACAAAAGCACGTGTTTAGAGGCTTCAGCATTCAAGGCCAGTGTGAGACCCTCAGGCTCTTGCAAGCCCAGCAACCATGCTGGCAGGACTGGGTTTGCTGGTGCAGGACCTTTGTATGACAGCTGAGGAGTCACTATGCTTGGCTTGTCACTGACCAGGAGCTTTAGGCCTGCAGAACAGGTTATTGACTCAGTCTACAGCAACCCAGGCCCCCTGTCTTTGAGGACAGTGGGCATTCCCTTCAAATCCACCTCCCTTTCTTCCAAACTTCAGGCCTCAGAAAATTGTCTCTATTCTAGGCTCATTATTTTTATGTGAGATTTTAACTGTCAGAATGGGAGAGAACTTCCAGGGAGTGGTGTCTTACACCTTTAATCCCAGCACTCGGGAGGCAGAGGCAGGTGGGTCTCTGTGAGCTCGAGGTCAGCTTAGTCTACAGATTGAGTTCCAGGACAGCCAGGCAGCCAGGGCTATATTGAGAGACCTTGGCTTGGGTTGGTAGTGGGAACTTCCTCCCAACATCAAAATACTTCCCTCCAGAGGGATTGACTCCTACTTCCATGAGTTGAAAAGGTCTTAAGATTCATCAACTTTTAAAGTCAGACTTTGATCGTTTTTTTTAATAGTATAGCAAGGCCATGGACATTCTTTTAGAGTTTTATCGAATTTCCATCTTGTTACAATCTTTGTAGCTGGTATTTACCTTCATGGAAGTCTTCTCTGTCTTCTTCTCAGGTCTGTCTGCCTCCTCTCCTGTCCTCCCTCCCTTCCTCTCGTCTCTCCTACCTTATCAGGCCCCTCCCTCCTTTACAGGTGATGTGAATGAGCACAACTTTTTCCTGTGCTCCCAGAGCAGTCTCAGTGCTCCCCAGCTCCCATAATGATGACTTGTTAAGGTCCACTGAAATGATAAGTCACTTTTGTTGAGGTCACATTCTCCTTTGTCATTAAAAAATTCTGCTTCACCTGTCCTCAGTTCCCTTCAGTTGCTCTTTGTTCTACATCATAGTCTCTGTCATTTCTGCATTTCTTCTCCTTCCTCCCCACCTTCCCCTCCCCTTATTTTCTTCCCCTCCTCTCCTTTCCCCCTCCCTTCCCTATTCCTTCTCCCCTTCCTTCCCCCTCTCTTTTCCTCTCTCTCCTTCATTATTTTCCTTCTTATGTGCCCTCTTGTGCCAAACATTGGTGGCATACATGATTTAGGGCACACATGTTTGTGCATGCATGTGTGCACATGCACACACACACACACACACACACACACACACACACACACACACACACGATGAGTTTACCCTCAGAACGTGGCTATGCAGAGGGGGAGGTTGGATATATGAATAAGGGCAATGTAATTAGATATGCATGAGACAGGTGGGTAGTGAAAAGAGAAGTTCTGGGGGGTAAGTGAGTTGAGAAGGTTGGGCTGTCAGACTGGCTGGGCACCTTCTAAACAGAAGGAATGCTGTGTCCTGGCATGACCATATGGAAAAGCATGGTATGCAGAAGAAGCTTCAACATTTTGATGAACCATCAAATCAAGTGATCTAGGGATCAGAAAAGGATGTAATGAATGACTATCCAGGTATGTGGCAAGGAATGCTGCTAATTGCAGGGAAATCAAGGCAGGAGCTTAAGAGGCTGGTCACATCACATACACAGTCAAGAGCAGAGAGGTGTAAATGCATCGTGTCAAGATGATGGTTAAAATTAACCAGCAGAGGGGACTGTGTGATGTCAGATTCACATCTGGGGCGAATGTGCCCATAGGCCTGCTGTGAGGACACTTACTCCTCCCTGGTGTCTTGTCCACTGGGCCCCAGGCTTGACACACTAGACCTGTACTCCATTTTGCTCCAGTCTCTCTCTCTCTCTCTCTCTCTCTCTCTCTCTCTCTCTCTCTCTCTCTCTCTCTCTCTCTCTCTCTCTCTCTCTCTCTCTGCTCTCTCCCTCCCTCCCTCTCTCCCTCCCTCCCTCCCTCCCTCTCTCCCTCTCCCTCTCCCTCTCCCTCTCCCTCTCCCTCTCCCTCTCCCTCTCCCTCTCCCTCCCCCCCTCTCTCTCCTAGACTGTAAGTCTGGACAGAGATGGAACACGGAGGCCATGGCCCCGGGTTCAGCATCAAACACATTTTCTTACTTTGCATACTTCTTCCGGCAGGTAGCATGCGTTTGAAAGTAAAGCTCATATCAAGCATTCCAAAGGTTCCGGTTCTGATGAAGCGCACATGTGGGCCTCACACCAAGGCGGGGGCGGCTGTGCCGCTGTGGCCTCCCATCATCTTGTTAAGAGGCAGGACTCCACACTCAGTTGAGGAGCGAGCAGGAGCCACTCACCCTCTGTGTGTTCTCACTCCGCGGCCCAAGCTCACACTCCAGTATTTGGAGATCAAGGATCAAGCATCGACTGCCTTTGGTATTCTGCCACGCTTCCGCAGATGGCCTTAAGCAGACCATCCACCGGACACTCTGCTGGGTCCCAGAGGCCAACCTTGTCTAGTGACCCACTCTATCTGGCACTCAGGACGCCCACTGTCCCTCAGCAGACCCCGCTTAAGTGGTGTCCAGCATGTTTACTCACCTTGGCCCTCCTTCCTCCTGCACCGCACACTCCTCCTCTGCACCATCCCTTAGGCTGTCCTCCCTGCATGGACCCACGTGACTCTCCTTTTCAAGTCCCACCTGTTTCCCGCAGCTTTCCCGGACACCGTCTGCTCAGCTCCACTCTCTCCAATGGTTTGTACACCATACTTAAACCTGTGGGCGAGCCCTTCCCTGTGCTCCCCTTTTTCCCTGACCACAGACTGCAGAATCCATAGGAAAAGGGAAGGAGGCTCACAAGCTGGGGCAGCTACCATTTTCCTATGCCTTTACTGCCTCCTTGTGGTGACTTGCATGTAGTTCATGGCTTCTCTGTGCGGGAGCTCCAACTGCTACCAGCAACTGTGTCCAGAGTGAATAGGTAAGGGGGGGTCTTTGTTATCCAAAGCATTCTAAGCCTTATGCTTGTCAGGCTAGGTACACACTCTCCCTTTTTTCCACTCACTCTCGTTAGACTTTGTGAGACTGCTTTCCCCTGAGAAAATGGCCCAGTGGATTCAATGAAGGATTTCAGTAGGCTGAAATCAAGAAAGAAGATCCTTTCTATCAGTATCATTTCCTTCTGAGCCAATGGAGCAGGCTTGTGGAAGGTGTTCGGTTTTCCAGGGGCTGATGGACACTCACTCTGTGCAAGATGCCTGGGGTCTATGTGCTCCGGTCTTCAGCTGCCCACAACCTGTCATTGCCCGTGGTGCCAGAACATTTCCACTTCCTCTTATAGAGTGAACGCTGGAGCTGTGTCCTTAGTGACTGTCCAACTCAAAGATGTATGGATACAGGACTCAAAATGGAACTTCCCTGGAGCTTCCATTTATTCCCAGAAACCACAGAACATTGTCCAGTGAGCTGAATTCAGGGGTCTCTTGGCCTTGCACGAGCAAAACAGACAGAACTAGGGGACAAAAGCACAGCAGCTACCCCCAGATGACCTCTTTGGAAATGTGAGACAAAGTGGACTCCCTAGGCTATGAATAGCCGCTTGGAGAAGGGTGTAGTTTTCTCCCTCCTGATGTGGTAGTAGTTGGGAAAACGCTCTTAGATTTGGTTTTCTGTATAGAACTTCAGCATAGTTTTGTGTCCTGATCCTAGTACAGGAGCTCAGTCTCAACCAATGGCTTCCTATAAACAGTAACTAATGTGGGGTGAGAAAGAAGTTTTGATCTGGCTGAGGCTTTAGTGTTGTTTGTGATAACCAAAGGCGGGTGAGTTAATACTCAACTTGTGACAAGAGACAGTTTTCTTTCCTCTATTCTGTGTCCCCACAGCTCCTACAGTTTGATGATGTCTTATTGAGCAGAAAGGACCTCTTTCGTCTCTGGGTTCTGTAGTCAGAGACTTACTCTGTTATCCGGTGACGCTCCAGACCTGCCTAACGGGCTTCCTATGCTCAGGGAAACTGAGGAACGAGAGGGAGGGAGAGGGGAAGGAGAGCTACTGAGGCAGTAGCAGGATATGGGCATGAGAGATGGGGAAATGGAAGAAAAGAGAGGGAGAGGCAGTTACAATTAGCGGCAGGGATAGTAGATTTTCATATTACAGGCTCAGGAGGAGGTACATTTTTGGGGAATTCGTTAGAAGGAGACTCTTGGATCATCTCTGATGCCCAGGACCATTAGTCCAGTGCTCACACTCTCCTGGGTACCTCTCAAGACTTGTCATGGTTCTAGAGAGCCTCACGTACACTTGATAAGAAGGAGGGGAACCAAAGGAGGTAAGATTCTCCCTCGAGGGCCAGATTGTGTTTCAGAGCTGTGCTGTACCCACTGACAACCAGTGGGAGCAACACCACTCAGTGGGAGGAGGAGTTGCTGTCTGTGACCCGGTACTGAGGCACCCGAGGTCAGTCATGGAGTGTTTGGGTCCACCTGTGTAGGAGTGAGATTCTGTTTCTGTTCTCACTATGGCCTTAATTGGATATAGAAAGGAAAGCTGGCGTGGGGCTGGAGAGATGGCTCAGAGGTTAAGAGCACTGACTGCTCTTCCAGAGATTCTGAGTTCAATACCCAGCAACCACATGGTGCCTCACAACCATCTACATTTCAATCTGGTGCCCTCTTCTGTCATGTAGGCAGGATATTGTATATGTGATAAATAAATAAATCTTTTAAAAAAAGAAAGGAAAGCTGGGAACTAGATTGACCAAACCATACCTTTTCAAGATTAGGCATTAAACGATTTTATTGTACTTTTCCTTGAGATTCATGAAGCAATGGAAATTTTCTCAGACAAGAGGGGAATTGGAAGCTCTGATGCAATTCTAAGGTACAGGAGGCTCTGGGCAGTTCAGCACTACAACTGAGCCTTTGGTTATAGCAGCTGAGGCACAGCCTGTATGTTGCTGGGCAGGTTTTTAGGGCAGAAGGTTTGTAGCTGGGCCAGTGACTGGCAAGGCTTCTGGTGATCTGAAAACAAGTTGGCCAGTATGTCAAAGACTTGGATTGTGTCTTAGACCCTTTCTGAAGGAGCTGAGAGCACCCAGGACATGTCCCCTCCATCTTCACATCACTGAGCCTTTATGTTCAGTGTTCCCTTGTGCTGCTCCACCAGTGACCCGATCCACTCTGAAGTTTTCTCCCTGGCTTCCTCCCAGCTGACAAGGGGCTCATAGCCCAGATCTCGCTGAGCTTTCTTGTAGGAGAAGGTGAACACACTATTTAAGAGTGTGACCAAGTGGCGATTAAAGGGAGGCTGGTAGTTGTAGACCGGACGCAGCAGGAAGCTCACAGTTTCCAGCAGGAAGCCAAACCAGTACAGCAGGGCCACAGGAGGTTTCCAACTGGAATCAGGGCGGAGGCCCCAGTCCTTGCTCAGAGTGTAACATAAATCATCATAGCTTTGGTGAGGGGTGTCATCTGAGATGTAGTAGAACTGTCCTTGGATGTTTGGTGACTTCTTGGGGTCTTGTAGGCCCCTGGCAGCCAGGACGTGTGCCCAGGCTGCATTATTCACATACACTGAGCTGATCACAGAGAATCTGCTAAAACCGTTAATTAGACCATTGTTCTTCAGTGCTCTATCCATTGTATCTGAAATGAATTTGCTTTTTTCCCCATAGATGAATGGGAGTCTTAAGGCACAAGTATGCAAAGTGCCACCATCTTTCAGGGTGGACCCATTGGCTGCCAGCACTGCCTTCTCAGCCATCTTTTTGCTGTATGCGTATGGATCAGACCATGTGCTTTCATGATTTTCTTCCTCAGAGCCATTCTGGATGATCACTTTGTAGGAGTTCGGTCCAGCCACAGCCACTGAGCTGCTGTAGATGAAGACGGGCACACGGGCTCCTATACAAGCATCCAACAGGTGCTGAGTACCTGCTCAAGGAAGCTCACCATTACTGTTAGGAAATTAGCTAAAGGGCCCACTGTGGCCGTGGAATCAGGTTCATCTCCACCTCAACCACAATGGAAGGATTCTCACAGACCTAAATGGGTTCTTACCTGATTTGACTCAAAATGCCATTCTATAGCCACAGGATAACCCCCAAATTAAAAGAGGTGACATGTAGATTCTGGAAAACAACTATTTCTAAGTTTCTGAGTTCATAGAGTTCTCTCTCTCTCTCTCTCTCTCTCTCTCTCTCTCTCTCTCTCTCTCTGTGTGTGTGTGTGTGTGTATGTGCACTTGCATATAATTACTTTTCTTTTCAGTGCTAGGGATGAAACCTAGATTCTCCCACATGTTAGACAACACCCCTTCCACTACTTTGGTTTCTGTTGCTGTGATAAACTCCATGACCAAAGCAAGTTGGGGAGGAAAGGATTTATATGGCTTATACGTTCCAATCACAGTTCATCACTGAGAAAGTCACCCCAAGAACAAAGGCAGAAACCATGGAGGAATACTATTTACTACTTTCACTACAGTTCATCACTGAGAAAGTCACCCAAGAACAAAGGCAGAGACCATGGAGGAATACTATTTACTACTTTCACTACAGTTCATCACTGAGAAAGTCACCCAAGAACAAAGGCAGAGACCATGGAGGAATACTATTTACTACTTTCACTACAGTTCATCACTGAGAAAGTCACCCAAGAACAAAGGCAGAGACCATGGAGGAATACTATTTACTACTTTCACTACAGTTCATCACTGAGAAAGTCACCCAAGAACAAAGGCAGAGACCATGGAGGAATACTATTTACTACTTTCACTACAGTTCATCACTGAGAAAGTCACCCAAGAACAAAGGCAGAGACCATGGAGGAATACTATTTACTACTTTCACTACAGTTCATCACTGAGAAAGTCACCCAAGAACAAAGGCAGAGACCATGGAGGAATACTATTTACTACTTTCACTACAGTTCATCACTGAGAAAGTCACCCAAGAACAAAGGCAGAGACCATGGAGGACTACTATTTACTACTTTCACTACTTTGCTTCCCATGTGCTCAGCTTGCTTACCTATATAAAATCCAGGATTGCCTGCCCAGAAGTGACAGCCCACAGTGGCTTGAGGCCTCCTATGTAAATCATTAATCCAGAAAATAACCCACAGATATACCCACAGGCCAATCTGATCTAAGCAATTCCTCAGGTGAAATCCCCTCTTTTCAGGCGACTACTATGTATCAAACTGATAGAAACCAAAACATTTTTTATTCTGGAGAGTTCTCCCCTAAATTTTTATTCTGGAAAATCATTCCTTTATGTTTTCTAAAAACAGACATCCATAAGTTCCCATTTGGTTTGGGAATGTTACTCAGTGGTTGAGCCTTTGCCTTGTGTGCAAGGTTTGATCTCCAGAAACAACACCAACACAGCATCAAAAAGAGACCCCCCAGTAAGAGCAAACACCTACTTATTTTCATGCATCTCATTTCATTAAAGGAGGGTCAACTTTTAATCCAAAAATTCAAGATACCAGATTCTCTGAAGCAGCTCAGACATTGCGTCATGCCCACTTAGGCATAGGATAGTTGCAATATGTATTTTTATTTTATTTTATTTTGGTAGAGCCTTATTACTATGCAGTCCATACTGGGCTCGAAGGTATCATCTTCCTGAGTCAGCCTCCTGAGTGCTAGGTTACAGATGAGTATCACTACATCTGGGGATGCAGTACACACTCACAATTAGACATTGAGTATTTTCTTCCCCTTCATTTAGTAAAGAGGAATACAGAACTGAGAATCTGAGTATTCATAGCACCAACTTTCAGGGAAGCAACTATGTGGAACTAAAAAGGATCCCTTTGAGTTGGTAATGGTCATCCCCAAATGATTAGTTGATTTGAAAAAGGAGCCTGTGTCACTGAATTTGGAGGTCACATGGGGATACATGCCAGGCAGGACCTTGGCATTAAGAAGTGACTTTGGGTGGGGAGCAGAGTGACCATGTTATAGGGAAAGCCCTTTATTAAAGTGTATTGGAAATCTACTGTCAGAGGCAGTAAGCATCAAGGGATGGGGATCTGAGGAGGAGACTGCGCACTGGTTAGGACCAGTCTTTAAGAGTAGACTGATGCTGATCTGAAGGGATGGTGTGGAAAGTGGAAAACCATTGCTGTTAAGAAAACAAGTCATTCTTCCTGGAAGACCTTCGTGGAGCAGTCTGATGCCTCTCTACAGAGGAAAGGTTAGGTAGGGTCTAGTCCAGAGAAGCAATGAGTGGATGGACTTCAAGCATTTGAAGATGGAGTTCACTTACTTTGGGCTGGAGGAACAGGAGAACTTTCCTAGCAGTTGGAGTGTCATGGTGTGGCTTTATAACTTTTGTCTGGTTCTGACTACCTGTGGGGACGCTCTTCCCTCCTCTCTCCGTGGGGTTTCTTCTTCTAAACACCAAGGACAACAGCTCTGAGCTCTGCTAGCTGGGCTGGCAAGCAGACGCATCGGTAACCCACAGCGTCATGATTGGCACTTTTTCTTCCTGTCCTAATACTATTTGGTCATTCTCATTTTCCCACTCACTCCATATCTTCCTGAGTTACTGTACCTTTCAGGTTGATATCTATGACAGTCTGTCTGGGAATGGCACCAAAGACGTCAATGGCGGCAGCAGTGTGGATGACAACGGAGATGCCCTGGCAGGCTCTCCTCAGGCACTGGGCATCCAGAATGTCTCCCTCCAGCACTGTCACCTTGGTCTTTGTCTGCAGCTCTGAGGAACACAAAGTAGGTTGTGGGAAGCTTTCTGACACACTATCGGTTACCTAAGCCTTCAAGGGCAGTCAGGGAAAGGAGATCCCGGGGAGGAGGCCTTTCTGCTGAAGGAACAATGAATGCACAACAGTCAGAATGTAGCATTTGCAGGGAAGGAGCAAGCACCCACTTCCTTTGTAGAAAACGAATCCCGTCAGTAAGATGTCATCCGTTCTTTGCACATGGAAACAGTTATTAAAGTGACCAGGGAGGTGGTGGTAGTCAAATGTAAAGAGGAAGAATTAGGATTTAATTGATGGAGAATGGGGAATCACTTGAGGATTTGGACTGAAGGAGAAACAGGCAGAGTCCTGCCATAGGAAGCTATAGTAGAGGTCTCAGGCTGCACATATACAGGTATGAGAACATGAGATTAATGTGGGTAAGCAACAGGATAATCAGATTGTATCTTCCAGAGTTCCAGTGAGGAGGACCCAGAAGAGGGAGACCCAAAGATGGAAAATTCAGCCCTGCCCCTGATAGGTCTTGATACTTTCTAGGTCTGGGCTTAGTATGAATGAAGAGCTAGCTCAGTTAATTACAAGAGAAAACTCCAGCAGCAGTGAGAGAACTCAGAATGGGCTCCAAGTGTGGGTTTAGGTGAGCATTTCTTGTCATATAGATACCATTGTAAATGATGTGGTCTCCAAGGGACCATACCATAGCCACAGGCAATGGTTATCTTCAGTTACCTCTCAAATGTATAGCAATCACAATGTATAGCAATCACAATGTCACCTAAGTTAGTTCACAGAATTTATAGTGTGCCACTTGCAGTCTGTACCAGTGTCCCACATGCCTTGAGCTTCATAATTTGCACACGACTTTCTCCGTTTGCTATCTCCTTTCCCAGATATTTCATGAAGTTGGGATTCTGGTATCCCTAGAATAGGTTGGGGAAAGTGTTGGGCCTAAGAAAGGCTCAAATGTGAGGCCCAGTGTAACCTCCTGAGTCTGGCTGGAGTTTGGTGACCTGTCTCTAACCTGTAACCTCCACATGGGGGTGACTCATCCAGACCTGACACAAGATTGCCCCCTGCCTAGCTACCTGCCTGCTTGGTGGATACTATTGGCCCTTAACTCCTCACATCACCTTACCTATCCTAAGATTCCCATCAGCTACCTCAGTCCTATATATGTTCCTGTGTGTTGGAATAAATCGAGATCCTGCTTCGACAGACTCCCGACTCAGTGTGTGTTCTTTTTCTCCCCCCTCCATCCAACCCATGCTCACTTGTCTATGCACTCGAAGAGCAAGGCGAGTTTGGAATCAACTCTTTTGAGACAATCAGATCAACGGAATTTGCAATGAATCCCAAAGAAATCTCGAGCTGGAGAAATTCCTCTTGGGACACATTACAACCTCAGCTGAGTGTGTCTGCTCTAGGCCCCGCTTCCCTGTCAGGAAACCCCCAAAAGGCTTTGAAGTAGAGAAGGATGGGGCAAAGCCTTCTGGGAAGGAGGCAGGCACACAGATGTGAGTCTCTTTCTGTATGGTTTGCTGCTGACTTTAGACAGACTGGGTCAGAAGAGTTGCTGTGACAAGGCAGGAGGAGCCCGGATACAGGACTCACACATTGGTTCTTTGGGGAGGGACGGGGATCCTGAGATACCAGGAAGGGACATCTTGAGTGCTTTGTGGTAGAGGCACATCTCTCACCTTGTCCAAGACACCATGGGCTTGGCAATTGTTCTTCACTGCCGTGTCATGGAGCCAACAGCATGCTGTGATCTCCAGGAGGAGATCTGATAGTTACTTAGCTCACTTTGCTTCTTAAGGTTTATGTATGCCTTATTGTGCACATGGGATTGAGTTAATTATCACCAGGCAAGTTTTGCTGAATTGTGTTGTGCTGGAATACACCAAAATCAAACAATTCAGGGACAGACTCCAGAAGCTTGAACCAACACCAGCTACCTAGTCATACTGAGCTACCTTTTTGCCTCCCAGGTTTTGTTACCCTATTAGCATCAGTGGCCAAAGAGACCGCTACAACTTCTGGGACAGATGCACATGAGATCAAATAGCATTGACTCTTGTAGACAATGAACAGATATTAAGGCACATCGGCACCTGATAACATGATTTTCCATGTTCAAGTTGGGGATTTTTCCCAGTAAACAAAAAGGCATAGGGTTCAATCCTCAATACTGGAAAGAGCAAAACAAATGGAAGATTCTTGCAGCTGACCTTAATGGAGAACTGTGACCCTACTCCCCATCGCTTTGGTACAGGTGGGCCACACAGAGTCTGACATCTCCTGTGTCTTTATTTTCTGTGTTGTTTTGTAATTTGTTTACCAAATACTTTACCTTTTATGTATTTTAAACACTGAAAATGAAATGTTTTTTATTTACTGCTGACTTTGGAATTTCAGAATGTCCTGGAAGTCCAAGGAATCTGTATATTAGACCTGTATTTTCAAATATTCATTTACATGTTCCAAGGTTGTATAAGATATCCAGAAATCTGATATGTTTTAATGCATGTTTTATTATCAGTTGTTTTTCTAGTATAATATTGCTACATGATTAAAAAAATAATGAATTAATTTTTTCCTAATTCCCTTAGGGGGGAAAATGTGGTTTTTAGCTCAAAACTACTATGCAAATGGACTTTGTTTTGTTCTTATTAGGTTTGTATGTGTGTATATGCACATGCACGTACACATGCTTTTTAAATTGAACTACTTTATTTAAATGAAACAGCTAAGGGAATTGGGTATGGTTAAAAATCTGCCTGAGTTTACAATGTTCCATGTGTCTTGGTGATAGCTCAGCTGTTACTGTTGCAACCAGCTACCTGGGCTCAGAATTTGCCCCTGGGCTTTCTGGCCACTGAATCTAATGTAAAAACAGAGATTCATGTGTCATTTTGGTATAAATAATATTAAGGTTGTTTTATGCTATTCTACTTTACTAAAAAACAACTATAGGAATTGGGTATTGTTAAAAATCTGTAACAAAAAGTTAACCTAAAACTTGCAATCCTAGGGGTCTGGAGAGATGATGATTCACAGCTTGCTCTTCCAGAGATTCTGAGTTCAATTCCTAGCAGCCACATGGTGGCTCACAGCCATCTATAATGAGATTTGGTGCCCTCTTGTGGAGCACAGTGTACATGAAGGCAGAAAAAAAACTATACATAAAAAACAAATACATCTTAAAAAACAAATAAACTTGTAACTCTAAATTGGAGTTGTTCTGGGAAACAACACATAGCCTGCCACCATCTTAACTAAATAAACTAAGTACAGCCGCAACTGGTAGCCATCTTTGTTAGGATAGGAGAAGAGGGAGGTCATGTGAATTCACTGCCATCTTGATTAAAGGTAACCATAGAGACCAACAACTAAGGTCTCTAGTTTAATAATATTTTGCTAGTGTTGTGCAATATTGCCATGTCCAGACCATTGAAGACACAAAAGCTTCCAGAAAGGAGGAAACTGATGTGCAATGTCTAAATAGGAGGTGGGCCTGAAGGCCCAGCACCTACCCTATGACCATGCTCTCTAGTTCTGGGTCAGGCAGAGTCCACTCTTTTCAACTATGCAGCGCCTTTTATGCTGTGCCAACCGTGATTATCCTTGTTGAGCCTCTTTACAGATCCACCTGGTTTTTATTTGGGGACAAGGAAGCCCTCCCCATACCCAATCCATATTCACCAGCTCCTAGGTCACTTACTGGATAATTCCTCTCTGTGTTTCGGGGTGAAGGACCTGAACAAGGTCCTGACCTCCTGCAGCTCTTTCTCCTGAGCCAACATACGGATGATCCTCTGGCCGAGAAACCCTCCTGCTCCTGTCACCAAGCAGCTCCATGCAGGCATGGTCAAGACAGGAAGTGGATCACAGTGGGAGCAGGTTTGATGTAATGTCACTCCGGGGAAGGCTAGAAAGAGAAGTGCAATGGGTGCAGAGTCATGGAGTTCCTACTATGATGACATAGTAGAAGAAAATGTCCTCAAGGTATTTCTTGAACATTTGTCTCATAACATCACTTCTGGGATCCCAAAATGTGTGGGTCTTCTTAAAAAAACCCAAAACAAGCAAAGGATCAGTTTTGCAGTAGATAGCAGACACCAGATATGTAATCTTTAACTCAGATCAGCTCTGATACTGAGACACTGTAAGATCTCACAGTGTCATATTATGTCCCAAGGTTGTCCCTCACCCATTAGATGCCACTTCCAAGCTCCAGGCTGTCTTACCTGTGCTTCTGCAAAACGTCATACACACTGGGGTCCTAAAACCCTTCACTGTATATGGTTAGCTTACACTGCATATGATTAGCTTACATAATGCTTAGCTTCCTACAAAGGATACTACAAAGCATACTACAAAGGTTATGGAGGAAGAGGTGCACAAGCTGAAGAATGAGAAATGGGAACGACCTTCAACAATCTTGTTTGTTGTACCGACCTCCCAGAATGTCTAGTGGTTCATCTACCCAGAAGCTTAGGAGGCTGGGCCCTCCTGCATCAATCAGTAATCAAGACAATGGCCCACAGGTCAATCTGATGTAGGCAATTCTTCAAGGGTTGATGTTTTCTCTTTTCTGATGACTCTAGTTGTGTACAACTAATGCTGATCAAACATGACCAAAAAGTATTCTTTCAATGTGTTTGCTGTAATGATCCTTGTTATTGTTTTTATAAATTTCTCTTTGCCCCAACTTCTCTGAGCAGCTCAGTTAACTGTAGAGCATGCATATACTCATCTGAAAGACCTCTCATTATTTATTTGAATAAGCAGCTTCTGATCATCTGTTTGTTTAGGTTGACAGCAGTAGGCAAGCAAAATCGCCTTATGGTAGAAACTCTCCAAGGCTTGTTCAATCTTCACACCCTGTAGATTCATGTGGGCAAGGATATCTATGAAAGCAGCCCAACAAAAGTTGAGAATTTACTTAGAACATTATGAAAAGTTCATTCTATTTTTTTATTCCAGTATGAAGTTCTTGACTGTGAACTTAATTGGTGACCAAGTCTGGTTGTATATTCAAAAGGTTGTAAACATCTGCATGGAAGGGGTTCACAGCCTTTTTTGTGGTTAAGGTCCATACAGAGCCCAGTGCAGGTCCCACTTGGGGCTATTTTGTAGAGCCTTTCTCTATAAGCATAGCAGCATTCACTGTATATACAGAAAGCACATATGTTGCTCTGGTTCATACTTTAAATGCTTGCTTCTTATTGCCTGAAACTTGTGTAGACATACCTAGGTACTCACATAGGTTACAGAATTGTATAGGTGAAAATTCTGCAGTTAGCTATATGTCCATTTCTATAATACAGTTAGGTACTAGAGAGGCAACCATTATGAATGAAGCCCATTGAAAGATGACTGTGAACTTTTTTGAGTATTTTCCATTCTTTCTTATTTTATTAATTTATTTTTAATATTCTAATCCCAGTTCTCCCTTCCTCCTCTCTTTCCACCCCCCAATTCCTCTCCCACCTCCCATCTGCTCCTCAGAGAAGGTAAGGCATCCCCTAGAAAGTCTACTAAGTCTGTCCCATCATCTCATTGAAGCAGGACCAAGACACCCTGCCCCACCCCTGTGTCTTGGCTGATCAAGGTATCTCTCCATATAGAATGGGCTCCATTAAGTTAGTTTGTACATTAGAGTTAGATCTTGGACCCACTGTCAGTGGCCTCAGATAATGTCCTAGCTGCACCATTGCCACCTATATTAAGGGAGTCTAGTTTGGTCTTATACGTGTTCCCCATTTGTTAGATTTGAGTCAGTGATCTCTCACTAGCTCGGTCCAGCTGATTCTATGGGTTTTTCCATCATGGTCTTGACTCATTTCTTCATATTATTGTTCCTCCCTCACTTCTATTGTACTTCTGGAGCTTGGCCCATTGGTTAGTTGTGAATTTCTACATCTGCTTCTGTTTCTGGAAAAGGGTTCTAGCTTCTCTGGGGTTGTAGATTGTAGGCTGGAATCTTTTGCTTTTACATCTGGTATCCACTTAAGAGTGATGGCCTACTATATTTGTCTATCTGGTTCTGGGTTACCTCACTCAGGATGTCTTTTTTTTTCTAGCTCTGTTCATTTACCTGCAAATTTTAGGATGTCATTGTTTCTTACTGCTTAGTAGTACTCCATTGTGTAAATATACAACATTTTCTTTATCTATTCTTCAGTTGAGGGGGCATTTAGGTTGTTTCTAAGATCATTCAATTATTAATAATGTTGTTATGAGCATAGTTGAGCCAATGTCCTTGTGATGTGAATGTGCCTCCTTTGGGTATATGCCCAAAAGTGGCATTGCAGGGTCTTGAGGTAGGTTGGTCCCTAATTTTCTGAAAAATTACCATACTGATTCCCACAGTGGTTGTACAAGTTTGCACCCCCACCAGTATTGGTAGAGTGTTCCCCTTTCTCCACATCTTCTCCAGCATAAGCTGTCATTGGTGTTTTTGTTCTTACCTATTCTGATCAGTGTACGATGGAATCTCAGAGTTGTTTTGATTTGCATTTCCCTGATGACTAAGGATGTTGAGCATGTCCTTAAGTGTCTTTCTGCCATTTGAGATTGTTCTGTTGAGAATTCTCTGTTTAGATATGTACCTCATTCTTTTAATTGGATTATTTGGTAGTTTGATGTCGAGTTTGTGTTCTTTGTATATTTTAGAGATCAGCTTTCTGTCAGATGTGGAGTTGGTGAAAATCTTTTTCCATTCTGTCGGGAATCATTTTGTCTTGTTGACCATGTTCTTTGCTTTGCAGAAGCTTCTCAGTTTCAGGAGGTCCCATTTATTAATTGTTGATCTCAGTGTTTGTGCTCTTGGTGTTCTATTAAGGAAGTTGTCTCCTGTGCCTATGCGTTCAAGGCTACTTCCCACTTTTTCTTCTATGAGGTTCAGTGTGGATGGATTTATATTGAGGTCATTGATCATTTCAACTTGAGTTTTGTGCATGGGGATAGATATGGATTTATTTGCATTCTTCTACATGTTGACAGCCAGTTATACCAGAATCATTTGTTGAATATGCTTTTTCCCCATTTTACATTTTTAGCTTCTTTGTCAAAAATTAAGTGTTCATGGGTGTGTGGGTTGATATCAGGGTCTTTGATTTGATTCCATTGGTCCACCTGTCTGTTTTTATGTCAATACCAAACTGTTTTCATTACTAGAGCTCTGCAGTAGAGCTTGAAGTCAGGGATAGTGATACCCCCAGATGATCCTTTATTGTACAGGATTGTTTTTGCTATCCTGGATTTTTTGTTTTTGCATACGAAGTTGAGTATTGTTCTTTCAATGTCTCTGAAGAATGTGCTGGGATTTTGATGGGGATTTCATTGAATCTGCAGATTACTTTTGGTAAGATTGCCATTTTTACTATGTTAATCCTATTTACCCAAGAGCGTGGGAGATATTTCCATTTTCTGGTATCTGCTTTAATTTCTTTCTTTAAAGACTTAAGTTCTTGCTATACATGTCTTTCACTTGTTTGGTTAGAGCTATCCCAAGATATTTTATGTTACCTGTGGCTATTGTAAAGGGTTATGCTTTTCTGATTTCTTTCTCAGCCCTTTTATCATCTGTGCATAGGAGGGCTCCTGATTTTTTGAGTTAATCTTGTATCCCACTACATTACTGAAGGTGTTTATCAGGTGTAAGAGTTCCCTTGTAGAATTCTTTGAGTCACTTATGTAAACTGTCATATCATCTGCAAATAGTGAAAGTTTTACTTCTTCTTTTCTAATTTGTGTCTACTTGACTCTGTTTTGTTGTCTTATTGCTCTAGTTAGAACTTTAAATACTATGTTGAACAGATATGGAGAGAGTGGACCGCCTTGTCTTGCTCCCAATTTCAGTGGGATTGCTTTGAGTTTCTCTCCATTTAGTTTGATGTTGACTGTTGGGTTTCTGTATATCACCTTTACTAAGGTTAAGTATGTTCCTGTTATCCCTGATCTCTTCAAGACTTTTATCATGAAGGGGTGTTGAATTTTGTTGAAGGCTTTTTCAGTATCTAATGAGATGATCATGTGTTTTTTTCTTTCATTTGTTTATGTGGTGGATTACATTGATGAATTTTTGTATGTTGAACAATCCCCACATCTCTGGGATGAAGCCTACTTGGTCATGGTGGATGATTTTTCTGATCTGTTCTTGGATTCGATTTGCCAATGTTTTGAGTATTTTTGCATTTATGTTCATGAGAAAAATTGGTCTGTAATTATCTTTCTTAGTTGTGTCTTTGTGGGGCTTGGGCATCGGGGTTGTTGTTTGCTTGTAAAAGGATTTGGCAATGTTCCTTGTGTTTCTATTGTGTGGAATAATTTGAGGAGCATTGGTATTAGTTCTTCTTTGAACATTTGGTAGAACTCTGCGCTGAAACCATCTGGGCTTGGGCTTTTTTGTTTTGTTTTGTTTTTTTTTTTGGTTGGGAGAGTATTGATAACTGTTTCTATTTCTTCAGGGTTTATAGCTGTATTTAAGTTGTTTAACTGTTCTTGATTTAATTTTGGTGTGTGGTACTTACCTAGAAATTTGTCCATAAAGTTTTCCAGTTTTGAGGAGTACAGGTTTTTGAAGTATGACCTGATGAGACTGTGAACTTTTATCTTCATTCTATCCATCCTCATTTTTCCAACTAAAGCCTCCCTTGAGTCTCTATCAGTACCTTGGTTTGACAGTATCTTGAAGGATAGTATTCTCCAGACATGTGTCCTTTCTCATCAAATATGCAGGTACAGGAGACACAGATTGCTTGTATGCAGTCTGTTTGAATATTTCAGTTTCCATAATCCTTTTTTAGCACCTTTGTTTCCTTTTATTGAAAATAGATTCTTTTTTCACATAATATATCCTGATTATGTTTTCCCCTCCTTTTACTACTCCTGGTTCTTCCCACCTCCCCTCCCGTCTGGATC